ATATCTACGTGACTAATAAACACACGACTACGCCAATATATGGTTTATCTGATTTCATCTTATAATTTGTATTATAATAATGAAATGCTAATCGACATAACCTTTATCACCGCTTAGAATACTATGAAATATGTTGCATACATTATTCTGTGTAAGAAGCCACATCATCTCATCTGACGTTATATGGAGTGAGTTTGGAGTAAAAACATGTTATTAAATGTGGTATTTTCACATGCTTTCAGATGGAGCAGCAGTTTTGCGTACCTTGTCAGTGAACTACGGCTCGGTGTACGAAATGCTGCTCCATCTGAAAGCATGTGCTGGAGATTTACTACTGATCACAGAACCGGCTTTACTGACAAGATGTGCACGACAATCACATTCGAATAACCATCCAGCCCTAATAGTATTACTAGCCTGATAATTATAATAATAATAATAATAATCATCTTGCTATCGTCAAAGAAATCAGCCACAGGCGACAGCTCTACACGATACTATCGTCTCAACCCTACATACCTGCCATTACAATGGTTCAGATAATCACTGCAAAATACAGATACGCAGAATTCAAACCACCATATCATGACATCCTCAGTAGGCTTGCCAATCCTAGCAGCGTTACATGTGATGTGCGCCAGACCTCTTTTCCCCTTTTAACTGGATGTTTTAACAGCAAGGGCAGCAGGAGAAAATGCCAGGAATGTGAATGATATGCAAAGAGCAAGAAGAGCTCTTTATTCTCCATCTCATTCCTTCTTTGCTTTTGACGGTTTTTATTGAAATGGGACCTGTAATGACAGTAATGTAGCTCTTTCGGTCTTTGCCATGCAAAACATTAACAGCTGCTGAGGGAATCCAATTCAAGCAGACCCAATTTACCAGTGCCACTATATTTGTTGCTTCAAGTTTTCAATTTCATATGAGAGTGTGCTTTGGGACTTCTGCAACACTAACTGGAATCTTTGAAAATTAGATTAGGGTAAAAAAAAAAAAGCGAGTTCAGGCAACAAAGAGTGTAATGAGCTCTTGCAATTATATACCTACTCAAACATGCAGGCCTAAGTCACTTCGTACCAAACTGAGCTGTAACGTATAATCCTGGCCATTTCAGCATGTAAACAGAATGAATCAAAAACAATGACAAGATGTTACTGATCCACCATCTTGAAATCTGCATTTCACACATCAAACATCAGAGCTTTTAGTTGCCATGGTGAAAGCATTACTGATCCCCACTGGCACTGAAACGCATTATGACCTCTATTTTACAGACGCACATCCAGTGAACAAACCAAACTCAAGAGTAACAGTACTTCATGCCACACCATCTCCATCCCAGTCATCACAAACTGCCTGTTGGAACTCCACAAACACACAATTATCCTGCATTATTTCAGCCAAAGGTTTGGAGGGGACTCTAGCAACCGTCTGTTTGCAGCTGAACCACACAACTGAGGCAAAAACAGTCCAGTAGTGATTATCCATCACTGCTATAAAAAAGACCTACGCTGAGCACTAACAAGAGCATGTGATTAAGACAAAGAATGAAACAAAGAAATCTAGCATCATCTGCTGTATTCTGGTCTTCACTGTTTGTTTATCAGTATAAAGCTAATTAGAGATATTCACCTAGACTAGATAGATTAATAGAACACAAATGTTGATTGATAGAAGTGTAATTTGTTACCAGCATTTCCCATGCATCTTGAACCCAAAAACAGTCCTGCGAGTCTGTCATTTCAATAGTTTCTTTAGCTTAAGACAGATGGCAAAAAGGAAACATCCCTCTTCGTGGAATTGTGCAAGCTGGTAAAGACAGCCGGCCAATAAAGCTTGGACTAAAAATCACTTTTCTCATTCCCTTGATGGAATTGCCATGATTACCATCACAGTACATTTCCACTACAAGAATGCTGAGTAACAGCTCATCTGAATGGCAGAGAGTTTAAAAGATCAGAAGACGTGAGCTGAATTTCACTAACTTGAGATCACAATGTAGCAGCACATTATTATAAAGCATGATGTGTCATGCCATGTGAAATTAATATTTCTGAGTGAAACTATTAATATAGACACTGCTATTCAAAACCCTGGGGGCTGTAAGATTTGATTTTTTTATAAATTAATAATTTTATTCAGCAAGAATGCATTCAATAGATCAAATGTGACAGTAAAGACATTTATAATTTTACAGATCTTTTAATTTCAAACAAATTGCTTTCTAATGCCCTATTCAAAGAGTTCAGGAAAAAAAAGTATCACGGTTTCCACAAATATATTAAGCAGCACAAATGTTTTCAACATTGATAATAAAGGTTTCCTGAGCACCAAAAATGGCACATTAGAAGGATTTCTAAAGGATCATGTGACTGCTGAATTTAAACTATGCCAACACAGGAATAATGTACATTTTAATATATATTCAAATAAAAAAACTGGTATTTAACCTGCATCATTATCTTTACTATATTTTGATCAAACAAATGCTGACTTTATGAGAATTAAGGCACCTTTACACAGCTGACTGCTCTATGCCTGCTCACAATGCTGCATTAAAGCCAGACTAAATTATGCCTGCTCACACACACCTCAGCTCCCAGTGACAAAGTATACAGTTGTACTTGGAGTGTAAAGGCATTTAAGCCACCTCCAAGCAGCATTACACAGTCTGTGTAAAGACACCTAAATGCCACTTCGGATGCACTTCTGTGCCATCTTTGCAATGTAAATTTGGCATAAGAGACTTTAATGTTACCAGCATTCAAAAAGTCTTAACGTAGATAAATTACGCTGTTCAGTGAATCCAATCTACAACATGCTTGCAATCATCAGCAACCATCCATGACGCCTGTCAAACAACTAGAGGGAGTGTACAGCAAACTTGGCACAATATCTTAAACCATAATGATTAGAGAACGTCCAAAGCACACAAGGTACCACATTTATTCAAAGCATTCACACTTTGATAAGCAACATGCACAAGCTTGCCTTTTCGGCATGTTTACATTTGCATGCAAGATGCTGTTAGTTATGCGGTGAGCAGTCATTAAATTAGTACATTAATTGCTGGCTACATCGTTGGGCTGGAAAGACGGCCACATTTACTGCAGTGATAATCACATCGTGACAGATCATGATCAGAGTCCCAACGATCAGAGAAGTATCGGGTCTGCACGCAAAGAATCAGCTGACCTACATATGAGACCAGCTCGTCCCTAATGACAGCATATTTTATATGCAAACGAGCTAAATAACTGTCAAAAACCTCGGTTATGTTTCATAACCTTGAAGTAAACGAACAAATATGCTGTCCAGGTCGAACCATCATCGTGTTTTGAGAAGTTGTTTGATTATTTTGAAGCTCGTTTGAATACTAAACATGTCAGGTTACTACTTATTGATTATATCCAACTCCAAATATGCTGTCTAGGTTGGAAGTTCACTAGGTTTTGAAACACAGTCCTCATTATCCTTATTCTCAACCGGTATGCTGCAAAAATGACCATTTTAATTATTTAATTTTTCTCTATTTACCCCAACGGAAGTGCACACGGCAAGGTCAGCCTTGAATGTAACATGTACAGATGATAAAATAGAGGTATGTGTTGACACGGGCGTTAGCCAACTGTTGCTAGCTAACATGACATTTGATGAAACGACGTGTTGAATTGCCGACAACATACACCTCTAACGAACCGCAAAAACTACAGACCGGAGCGGGATCATTTCGTATATTTATAGCGATAACGTTCACAGAATACACACCCGTGGTGCCGTCGATATATTCACGACTAAAGGAGAAAAAACAAGCTGAAGTATTTCTCCAACGGCCGCGTCCGCCATTTTGAGACACGGAGAAAAGGAGGCACAAAAATTACAGCTACAACAACACTTCGACCGGCGATTTTTATCTAACATAACCGCAAAGAGAGACACAAATGGGCTGTTCTTACCCTACACAGACAGCACCTGATGTTATTCCTCAGAAGACGCTGGTAAGGAATGAAATCGGTGTTTTTTTAGTGTTGAAAAGGTGGCTGAAGTCTCGGGGTCTGCCTCCTTGCAGCGCCGCATTCGCCTCTACATACAGACTCTACACGGCACTGGAGCGCGCATGGGCTGACTTCAGCGGGCGGAGGCGCTCACGCCCTTCAATCTCACACCCTCCTTTCAAATACTGTGGGCGTTTCTTGAATAAATATTCACCTCAACACCTAGTATTGCAGATGACTTCAAAAACGGACCGTGAAAACTAATTTCTCACATGAGCCACATTAATGGCTTTAATCTGGGTACAATCAGAGCGCATGGCCTCTATTTGAGTCTCAGCTGGAGTCTAAACAACACCCGTGTCATGCTCATGTCAGGTGCACAAACCAGTTTACATTTTTCAGGCTTTGAGTGAACTTTTTAGTCACCTGAAGCAAAATATGTATGTCTACTAGTTGTTATAGTCTTCATCAAGTTTATACACGACATAACTAAAAACGTTAGTGCCTCTAAAACTGTAGACAATGAGTCCATTTGTTAACTCTTTGAAAACAAAGTGTAAATGTTTTGTTTAGACACAGTATAGACAATATTTAAATGAATGTAATCACATGTTGTTTTCTAGTTTCTTTATTCATTTTAATACAAAAGGATAATCGGACCAAAAATAATTAGACTGTTCAGAAGAATTTACATTAAGGTACCACTCATTAAAGAAACCAAAACAGACACACAAAGGGCATGACAAATATTTCATGTCCAAAACAGAAGAATCACAAAAAAATAAAGAACGAAATCCACAGATATACACTTTGTATCCATAGAATACAAAATTATATGTTTGTTCAACACCAGATGACACTGAGACGGAGCACTGTATATTGCTCTATGTATATATTAGAGCAAATGTAACAATGTGCTGCAGACTGAGGGTAACGGGTGTCTTAATTGTGATATTTAAATTACGAGCGTGTTTAAATGGGCAAAAATTACTTGACATTTTTCCCCCCAACGATTTTAAAATTTAAAAATTCAATTTCTTTGTCTTTTCACACAGAAACAATTCACATTTGTGATTAAACTGAAATTTGAAGAATATTATACCGAGGAAGACATTCTTTCAAATTAAAGATTATAATCCAAAAAGTAAAATTAACAAAAATAACTGCTATTTTATTTCTGCATCTTTGTTGTCAATAAAACCCAAACCTTTCTAAAAATACTACACATCTAGATTACATCATATTGGTTTGTCATGCAAGCAGTTATTGAAATCTTGAATTGACATGTTGCTTTGCTACATAACATGAACACAGATTTGGTTATTATTATGAAAATTACCTTTTGTGGTTAAATTTAAAACACTGTTTGAATCCACTGGTTTGTTCACTATGAGATGTGCAACTATGGAAGCTTGAGTACATTCAATTGAGATCATATTTAGCATTCTTAACTGCAGATTGGTTACTTATTTTTTTATATACCAAAGCCCAGGAGAAACCTGAGATTAAGTGCCTGGCTCAAGGACAAACTAGAAACAGGATTTTCTCATTAACCCTTCAGTTCAAAGGTCACGCTTACTCCACATTGAACTTGTGATGCATCTGTTCCAAAACTTAGAACTTTAACCACTAAGCTATCACCATCACCATCACCAAAAATATTTAAGATCCTATTGAACTCCAGATTCAACGTTTTGATTCAAACCTAGTTCATGTATTCTAACGCAATTCATCAAAAATGGAGTTTATGTCCATTATGAGAGTTAATATATTGACTACAGCACATCCATGTGGCACCTAAGGGTACTGAAGTAGATTTTCAATGATTTCTGTCCAACATCCAAGCTTTCGGATTGCAAAATCCATCAATAAATGATTACGCAGATATAAAAGAAATACAGTTGCCCAATCTTTTGACTTATATAAGCTTAAACAGGCTCAAATCTCACACATAATTACATATTATTGTTCATAAATATCAACTACCAGTTACATCGCTTTTTCCCCACCACTTTTCATAGTCAAACCAATTTTTAAAAACTGTAGTTTTTGTTTTATAGGGAAATACAACCAAGCTAGCAGTTTTGTTGCATCCATGTGCATAATCCAAGGTGCACTTAGTTCCAGCATATTGCTTCATACAGTTTGAGCACAACATTTGCAGGACACACACACACACAGTACAGCATGTACACAAGCAAACACATCATCCTTGATCTTTTTTTTTTTTTGGTAAGTTGCAGCGAAGCAGCCCATCTTATTCCTCTTTTGGTGGTCCTATATGAGACCACACAAAAACCCGGCACTGGAAAGTGCAAAAAATACCTCTAGGGAGGAACAAAACATGAGTCTCACAGGTTCCTGAACCTTGTGCTAAAATATTCTAGAGAAAATACTGATCAGATCTTGAAAACCACAATATTAGTAGCACTTTTTCACCATCATCATCTTAACAGGTTGCACGAGTCCATCTGTTATCAATGATGTATGTATAAAAATATCATCATGATATTATTCTGTTGCAGCAGCTCTGGAGGAATCCTCTGAATCAATTTCTGCGCCAGCATGGACAACCATAAAGAGACATACATACATTAACATGCACACATACACACTTTTAAAGTGAAAAAGAGTTAACACAACAGTCTAATTCAAGATGGACATTTTAAATCAGTATTTCAATCAAAATGAATCAAGTACCTGTCTAACCCCAATGACAAAGCTTTATACAGCTTCCCAATGTATTTCTATAAAACAGACATGGCTTAAATTAACGTTTACATGAAAGATCAAATGGCTTCTCATGTTCTTTTACAAAAAGATTCCTTGTTTTACAGACGCCACCGATCTAAAATCATTGGTTGAGAACTCGCATCTGTAAAGTTGCATCGATCCGGTTTTGTCTAAAGGCAGCAGCCAAGGAGAGCACAGAAAAAACGTATGTGACAATACTAACATTCGGTCCTGAGACTAGACCTATAGAGTTTACATTCTTAAGCCCAAGATTCTTGTATGTCTATCTCTGTTGAACTGAACGGTGAACATCTCTCTTCTGGTGCGCGGTGTAGAAATCACCTGAGTTTCAGATAGAGATGTGTGTTTTTAGGATCTCTCTACACACGTGGGTTGGTTTGGGACGGATTGTGGTTATCCTGGGCTCAGATGAGAAGGAAAGAGATGGGGATGGCGGATGGATAAGGCTCTGGTATAAAATGTCATGGTCATCCTTGGTCATCTCCACCCTCATCTGTGCAAACTCACATTCTATCTGCTTCCTCTGGTAGAACTCGAGGGCTCGTGTTGTTGAATTGCACATGTAAAACTGCTTTCATTCTCTTTATAGCTACAAACTACACTCTGTACATTTTTCTGTACTGTCTCCTGTTCCTGGTTCTCCCCACCCCATTATATTCAAAGTGAATTAGTTAGATTAGACAGCGCAGTTCTCAGGTCCACGGGTTCAAACAGATGGCTGCTGCATCGTGTCCTCCTCGTATGGAGAGGGGCTGCATGGATGGAGTTGTTAATCATCCACAGGCAGCTTGTCATCCAGCTCTAACTGACCGGCCTGCTGTTCCTCGATTTTCCCAGAATTCTGCATCAGCTGCCGTCTTTGCACCTCGGCCTTCAGATTCTCCAGGTCCTTTTGGCTGTGTGAAGAATCAATAGTGTGAATTTAGTTTTTACAACTTACAGTCGGAATTATATCATGATATACATACATATCTCTCTGAATTATAAGAATTCCTGACAAAATATTTGTTCACCAAGCAGTTAAAAAAAAAAAAATATATATATAAATGGTATATATTAAGGTTAGGTTACACTTTATTTTAAGGTGTCCTTGTTACAGTGTAATTATACATTTAAGTGCTGAGTAATATTAATTAACTACATGTACTTACTATATGGTTAGGGTTAGGATTAGGGTTATTTACTTGCATGCAATTATGCATAATTAACTGTTATTGTAATAGTAAGTACATGTAACGTGTAACAAGGACACCTTAAAATAAAGTGTTACCTATATTAATATTTAAACTATAATATACTGTTGATGAAAAAAATACCACTGCAAGATATTTATTAAATAAGTTGGAAAATGTGTATGTAGAGAAGAACAGAATTAATAGAATATAGAATAGAATAATAGAATCGAAAAATTATATTATATTATAATACAATATATGTAGGTAATACTTCATTACAAGTATATAAAGTATTAACCACATATATTATTAATAAATCAGGCTTGTATTTATATATAAATATTATTTTGTCTTTAAATTGCAAGAGTTTGTAAGACACATTATAAGCAGAGAAACCTATTTATGCAATGCTATATCTTTGCATATTATACTACATACAACATCTAACCTAATATAATATAATCTATATATATATATATATATATATATATATATAAAAAAAAAATTTATTTTTATTTTTTTTAAGTAGCTAATTCTTCATTATCTAAGCCCAGGTTTTCACATTAATTGCTTAAAAAGGACAGTTAATTCCCATATCGTGTTTTGGTTATACTGGTGAATATTTTATGTTTACACTAATAAAAAATTTTTTTTTTTAAATGGTTGGTTAAAGTTCAAAGGTTTTTGTCAAATAAAATAACATGCCATGCCAATCCTGGTCAAATGAAACATTCAATTGAAGAACTGACATGACTAAATATTTAAGACATATTTAACCAAAAGACAAAAAATATAACTTGGCTGGCTAAAACAAAATGGTGTAAACCTTTGCTCACCTGAGGGGAATAAAGATGATGCCATTGATGATATTAAGCTGTTCCAGAACACTGGCCATGCTTGGTGCTGTAAACTACAGAGACAAACAAAATAAGCAATCAACACACATCCTGGCAAGATCATTTAACAACATTTTCAGAGCAGCTGAGGTGTGACTGACCTTGAGAGGCATTATGCTAGCGTTGGATCCATTCTTGTAGATCTCATTCATGGTTCTCTGTAGAGCCACAGCCTGCTGCGTGAGGTACTTCAGGTACTCTGAGCTCTCCTTCGTCTTCTCATGAGCTTCACCAACCTTAAACACAAGTACATTGTGTTTGCATTAACACTTATTATAATACTATTCTATACGTTAGTGTACTACAACCTCCTTATTAAAATCAGCCTTGTATTTATATATAAAGCCTTTGTATTTGTATATTTCACGGGTAAAATCCAGTCATTTCAATGGGAATATACACAATCAGAAATTTTGTGTGAGGGTGAAACATTCTCCAAAACAGATTTCGCATGGGTTTCAAGTTGGTCACATGAATTCGCCACACTGACCAACAGAAGATTCTCGATTTGAAAGTGACTTCATACATTGTTGCACTATTGACAACAGTAACTTAATGTATCATTAAACATTTTAGCAGGTTCAATCAACATTGAATAGCAAATCCGATATACATGAATGGTTGGTTGTACCTGGTTCTTGTATATGGTATAACCCTCCTTCTCATGCTGCAGGGCAGAGCGGAACTCAGCCTTGCTCTCATATACTCTGGCCACCAGGTGATGACTGCAGAAGAACAGAGATGAATGTTAGTACTTATTTTGACTGCATACGACACCAATGATTTGAACTAGTGTGTAGTCAGGTGTATGTACCTGAGAGCTACTTTCAGGGATCGTGGGCCATGGTATTTGGAATTGATGGCCAGGGCGTTTTCCAGGAACCGCAGAGACAGGTCATACTCCATCACACCATGAAGCACCAGACCAATATTACTCTACGTCAGAGAGAAAGATCACAGTGAGAGGTTGGCTTTGCTCCATAAGCCTCAACTGAAGTGACTACAGGAATTGAATTTCCTCTCGTCAGCCTTTCAGGGTTTAAGTCAACGTGATAGTCAGTGACACTCAGTACACTCTGTTTAGTTCTTTGCAAAACTAAGGATGAGTATAGGTTCTGCACCAAAGGCTTACATCGAGCAGAGCCATTTCTGGATGGTCCTCCCCACACACCACGAGCATGAGGTAGCGAGCGCGGTACAGCAGCTTCAGGGCAGTGGACAGGTGGCCATTGGCAAAGCAGTACAGAGCTAAGTGCATCTGTGGAGAAGATTTACAGTTCACAGAAACTAGTTTGAAGTTCATTTAGTATATTCATTTGTAGTTTATAGTAGAATATTTGTACATTTTCTGAGCAGGCAGCAGAAAATGATGTAGATGCTTACATATTCTTGAATAGTGTTGGGGTGTTCAATACCCAGCACTCTCTCACTCATCAGGACAGCCTTCTGCTGATTGCTCAGAGCCTTGATAAGAGGGGGGAAAATCTTGTGATGAAATAAATGGAAGTAGTATGGAAATTATACAGTGAGGAGGGGGAAAAAAATAGTTCACATGTATGCTGAGGACTTGTTAGCTGATTTTTTTTGCACCCATTTCAAAATAATTTAATTTAGTTGTTTAAATTTTTTGTGGTTTAAATTTTTTAAAATATGGTTTAATGTTTTAGCAACTAGTCTCAAGGATATATTTATTTGATAAAAAAAATACTGTCAAATTTACAGTAAAACCATAATGTAATTTATTCATATGATGAAAAGCTGAATTTTCAGCAGCCATTACTCCAGTCTTCAGTGTCATCATTCTAATCTGCTGATTTGCTACTCAAGAAACATTGCTTGTTATTATCAATGTTGAAAACAGTTGTGCTGCTTAATATTTTTGTGGAAGCTGTGACTTTTTTTTATTTTTTTATTCTTTGAATACAAAATTAGAAAGAGCATTTACTTGAAATAAAAAATAAACTTTTGTAAAATGATGTCTTTAATGTCATATTTGATCTATTGAATGCATTCTTTCTGAATAAAAGCATTAATTTCCTTTTTTTTTTATCTTACAGCCCTCAGTCTATTGAATAGCAGTGTCTACATATATTAATTTCACAACAGAAACATTAATTAATTTCAGTGTCTGGAATGACACATCATGCTTTATAATAATGTGCTACTACACTGTAATTTCAAGTTAGTGATAATCAGCTCACGTCTTCTGATCTTTAAACTCTCTAACATTCAGATGAGCTGTTACTCAGCATTCTTGTAGTGGAAATGTATTGTGATCCGGCAATCATGGCAATTCCTTCAAGGGAATGAGAAAAGTGATTATTAGTCCAAGCTTTACTGGCCGGCTGTCTTGTTCAGCTTAATATTTTTGTGGAAACCTTGATTAATTTTTTTAAGATTTATAGAAAGTTCAAGAGAAGAGCATTTAGAAAAAGGAAATTTGAAAATTAATAAATTTCTGTGCTGTGTCCATGCTGAGCAAAAACGTATTAATTTCTTGAAAAAAACTAAAAGAAAATCTTACTGGCACCAGACTTTTGAACAATAGCATAAATTCGTCAAACCAATAATTTAGCTAAAGCATAAGATCAAAAGGTTTTTAAAATAATTAGAAACAAATTTAGTCATTTGTAACCAAACATTTGACTGTTTTTAGGATGTACCTCAGGATGATCACCCATGATGTAGTTGAGTCGCGCCAGAAGGCGCAAACAGGCACAGATCTCCACATGCATGGCTCCATACACATTGTTGAAGAGGTTCAAGGCCTCGTTGATGAGCTCACAGCCCTCCTTTAGGAAGCCTTTGAACAGAACACACATCAATCAGCATTCCAAAACCATCTTATGGGAAATTTCATTGATAGGGATGTGTTTTAATGTACCTTGCTGAACCTTGGCCTGCCCGCTTTGGAAGAAATGGAAGGCATCAGAGGCTTTGGGGTTGACGTGCTTAACGACGGGGAAGATGTTCAGGATGTCCTCCTCGGTGAAGGCCGGCTTATGGCGACTGTCGAAGTTGTACTCCTTTATCAAGATCTACAGGGGAAGCACAAAGGACAGCCTTGTCGCTACAGGCCTTACGAAGCACCTCAGTGACAAGAAGCGAGATCGATAAGAGCACTACCTGAACGCCCGTCTTGAGTGATATCTCCCTCAGCAGGGTGATCTTCTGCAAGCCGTACTTCTCCACTGCTTGGTCCACACTTTCACTGTGAAACATAAAAGCACAACACCATTAGTCCTTGGACACACCAGGCTAATGAAATGCTTGGAGTTTGTTTGAACTAGTTCCCACCATTGTAGACTGAAGTGATAGTAGCTCTGTGCCTCAGAGTTAATGTTCTTCCACAGCTCACTAGGTGTCAGACTGGCCCATGTTGTGTTGTCCCCTCCACCAGGGACCCGGTTACGTCTCTTACGACTCTTTCTGCGGGACACCAGCTCATCCGCAGGGAGGTGAGCCACGGCATCTGGGAAAGAGCTCAAGAGGCAGTTCAGGAAGTGGCTCACGGCAGCGGATAAAGCAGAGAGCTCCACACCCTGAAAATCACAAGCACAAACATTAACAAAGGTTAATGCCTCTATTAAAACAATCAACAGCTACTAAAAAGCAAAAATTCAAAAGGTATTGCCAATGTTTTCTTTTTGGAAGTGTTTAATGGCTATACAACATCTAAATAATACCATGGTAAATAGATATGGGAATCCTTCATTTCCATAGTAAGGTACACCAGGTTTGGGTCAGTAAGAAAGAAATTCTTTTTTTTTTTTAGCAAGGATGCATTAAATTGATCAAAAGGGACAGTAAATACATTTATAATATTTAAAAAATGTTTAATATTTATTTCAAATGAATGCTGTTCTTTTGAACTTCCCATTCATTAAAGGATCCTGAAAATACTGTTTCAGTTTCCACAAAATATTAAGCAGTACAATGGTTTTAAACATTGATAATAGTAAGAAATGTTTCTTGAGCACCAAATCAGCATATTAGCATTATTTCTGAAGGATCATGTGACACTGAAGACTGGAGTAATTGCTGCTAAAAAATTTGCTTTAAAGCCCCCCTGTAGTCAAACATTTTATCCTTTAAAACTAATCTTTGATCATCAAAATGACATTTAAATGTATTTTGTTGTGAAAATAATTGTCATGCCTTAAAATAGCTTGAATGTAACTCTACACCCTTGCCTCATTTACTGTACGCGGATCTATGAATACGCAAATGGCCATGAGTCAGCGCCTCCTGATCCACTGAACTGTAGTAAATGCGATACAATGCCAATGGCAAGTGGAAATATTGGTTTAATTAAGCCATATGTGTTTGAACCAGAAATAAGCTGGTATGCTCAACGCAAGCAAGGAGACTGATGGCTAACTTCGTGAGGTAACATTATCTGTTTGCGCTGGTTCGTACACGGATAATGACTGATAAAACTGTTTTTACTAGCGGACAACTACAGTGGATACTGTAACATTCGTTAAATTTACTTACTTGACGATGTTGTGTCCTCAAAATGCCTTGAAGACTCAAATGCAGACAAGTTTGTGATTCCAAATCGCGCCCGCGATCATACGCGTGTGACGTGCGGAAGTCAATGCGGGAGAGGTGCATCTGACTCCTTTATTTGACCCTCTAACTCTAACACTTTCCATTCCATTTAAATTCTACTTTATCTATATTTATCTTCTTTTTTATTTAAAAAACAACAACAAAAAACAAACAAACACTAGCTTTCTATTTTTTCTATTCTATCTACTTGTTTTTCTTTGTGTGTGTGTCAATGT